TAAAAAAAAATTAAAACTTAGAGTATCGATCGATCGATGAATAAAAGTATAGTTATTTTTCAATATTTTATAGTATTGAAACATCGAATTAATTATTTTCGCCCTAGGAACCGAACCCAATTGGAACCGCGCGTGATTGGCTAGTGTTTTATAAAATGTTTTAAAAATGACCATAAAAATGTGACCAAGGTTGCTGGAAATCATGTCAATGTTGCCAACTCCGGTGGCCCAGAATGGCCGACAATCAGATCTGGTGATAAAAACTATTGTTTCATGTTATAACCATTAGTATTCACGCTCCAAAGATTATTTAGGACCGGCTTCTACCAGCGGCTTTGCTCGCGTTACTCGAAATAAGTAATCCACGTATTAATCCAGACTATAATCTATCTCTGTGCCGAATTACATTCAGATCCGTTCAGTAGTGTTTACGTGAGAGAGTAACAAACATACATCCGTACTTACACACTTTCGCGTTTATAATATTAGTAGGATTATTTAGGAGAATACATTTTTATATACCACCACTGTTCTTCTCGTGGGTATATCATACCCGACTAAGAGACTACACAATACACAGAGACCAGGCTGCACCGCTCTCTGATAAACCTGAACCTTTTCAAATGCGATCTAAAATATTATAAATACGAAAGTTACGATGTTTGGATGTTTGTTACTCAATCACGCCAAAACTACTGGACGGATCTGGATGAAATTTGGCGCAGGCATAGGATACACTCTGGAATAGGACATTAGGCTCTTATCAACATACCACGCGGGCGAAGTCGCGGGCGGAAGCTAGTTATATTCTATTCCGCCATTAACAACGGCAAGAAAACCGATTTCCCATAGCGATACCATTAGCATACCAGAGCGCAACCACGCAGAACTATAATGTTGCAATGTCTACCGAAAGTAAAAAAAAAAGAGAAATTGAACAAATTTATTTTTAATAATAGCAACATTAGCGTTCTTTGCAATACTTAGGTACCTGTCTTTTTGCTCTTACGTCATAGTATTGTGATTTAAAAAAAGAAGCTGGTCGTACGCGAGTTGGGTTTTGGTAAACGATTTTTTTAAAGTAGTAATACGTTTATTTACAATTTACCAAAACTGTTCTTCACGTGGGTTTAGCATACCCAACTATGAAATACATTTTTATTTTATAAGTGTTAGAGATCCAGGCTTCGGCACAAATGGGCCGGCTCGACCGTAGTGTTACCAACTTACCACGGCCTCAGAGTGAAACGGCGTGAAGCAACGCTTACGTTGCGTTTCGCCGTGTGAGTGAGGTTACCGGAGGCCAAATCCTTCCCCCATCCTCAATTCTTAAATCCCTAATAACATCCACACGTGGTCGGCAACGCACTTGTAGTAAGTCCTTTAGTACCTATTACTAGTGTCCATGGGCGGCGCTGATTGCTTACCATCAGGTAATCCGTCTGCTCGTTTCCCAACCTATGACATAACAAACACATTTAAATGATGACACACATGATTTGATAACCATGGAGATTATAGACAAATACCCTTTTTGGAGATAAGGTCTGTATTCCTATATTTTTCTTAAGGGATTTTTAATGGAATGGTGGTACTTAGATTATTGCCTAGTTCGCCACCGTAACAGCTTGAATATAGCGCTAGAAAACCGGTCTGAGCTCAATCTAGGTTTAAACTTTATGGTAAGAAATCTAGGGCATTCATTAGGACCCATTCACTGCAGTCTAGTTTTAGTTAAGGATGTCAGAAAAAGATACCTTGATATTATTTGTTGTAATACTTATGTTATATGGTATAACGAGTGGAGGATTACCTGATGGTAAGCAATCAGCGCCGCTCATGGACACCAGCTGAAAAGTTACAAGTGCGTTGCTGGAGTTTTGGGGATAAGACTGCACGGTTGGCGCGGTGGCTGGGCAACTGGCTGCTGTGCAACGTGTCGCGGGTTCGAATCCCGCACGGGAAACACTTTGTGTGATCCAATAAACACAAAATATTCATGCTTATTTTCTCTTAGCGCTACATGTGTGTCTCCCACACTTGTTTTTTGCCAGGGGAAAATCATCAAATGACCTCTCCCGCCCAGGGTAAGGGACAGAGTGTCAGACTCTTACTGACTTTCCCTGTTCCTTCTTCCGCGGTGCCTCATTGCGCTTACCCCGCAACCCTGGCTGAACATCAGCCCTATAGGGCCTCGTCTGTGGTGGTCTATTGGCCCTTTGAGGCGCGCGCGGAATGCTACGCGCCGTACGTTCGGGTCTGGTTCTGGTCGGGCGGCGAGCTACCATTACTCGCCGGCCGCAGACTCGCGCTTTCGGTGGCCGGAGATCGTCTCTCGGTATCTCCCACACTTGAGATGTAATATTAAACAGTATACAACACAAGTATATGTCTGTACGTCTGTATAAACGTTTACACAGTGTCATTTACTGTGTATTATCAACATCAGCTCGATGCTTGACAAAACATACGACACGATGCACCATCGTTTTCAAAACACCTCACTCATATTACTCCAACATGATTTCCTTTTGTAAACATGGCTGTATGCTGAAAAGAAGGGGGGCCATCAGACTATAGGTGGACGAAGATATCCTCCTATCAGTGATAGGGAGATAGATGAAACGCCGGGTTTCTATGAGGCCGTGGTATCACTCCGGTCGAGCCGACCCATTCGTGCCGAAGCATGGCTCTCCCACACTTAAAATTGTCTGCGTGTCTGTCACTGTTTAATCTTTAAAACTGCTCGCCGTTCGAAAGTGACCTGCTTATGAAAAAGTTTCATAATTCTCAAATGTCACATATTGTATAAGATTCCAGCGTTAGTGCGTAGTTTAATGGATGTAAGAATTTTAGCACTTCTCGATGTTTTTTATTGGCCTATGTTTAGCAGTTTTTATGATGATGATGATGATGAATTATGATAATTATTATCTACGTAATTACTTGCATCTTTTGTTTTTTTGAGGGCTTGTATTATCCGATGTTTTTTAGGCTAGATACAGTGTGGACTCTTACTGTCTAAGACACGACTTTGGGTCCTTTTGGGGATTGGAAATGGGAAGGATTTCTCCGGTAACCTCACTCACACGGCGTTACTTAACGTTGTGGTTGTTTCACGCCGGTTTTCTATGAGACCGTGGTATCACTCCGGTCGAGCTGACCGATTCGTGCCGAAGCTTAGCTCTCTCACACTATAATCTAAAAGTTTATTTCACTTGATCGGGTATGTGACACCCGCTCGAAGAGTAGAGGCCACTATGAATGTTTTCTACATTACCATGATAAGAATTCTAAGTAATTATGAACTTACGTAGGAAATAAATAAAGTAGGTTTTGCATTACATAAGCTTAGTAACGACCTTGTAAAATGTTGTTGCTTATTCATTCACTTGTGTACACGTGAAAGTGTTTGCGTCCGTTGCATACTACGAAACAGCTGAGCCGAATTTGATGATATCGAAAAATTTTAATATAAACTACTTAACGTTTAGTAGCACGATTTAGTCAAGGTTTGGAGGTCAAGTAAATTCTTGGTTTTTTTTAATATTTTTATTTTGTAGAGGGATAAATTATTATTATATAGTCCAGGTTTCCTCACGATGTTTTCCTTCACCGTATGTCAGTGGTGTATAAATAATCATAGAAAGTACATATAACACGGAAAAAATCTCATTTTCTCACCACATAGAAATAGCGTAACCTCATAAATTACATACTAGTTTTTACCAGCAGCTTCGCTCTCTGTACCAGACTAACTACCCCATGTGTTATTCCAGACTATAATCTATCCCTGTGCCAAATTACATTCAGATCCGTTCAGTAGTGTTTACGTGAGAGAGTAACAAACATCCATCCGTACTTACACACTTTCGTGATTATAATAGACTAGCTACTCTCGCGCGGTTTCACCCGCTGCTCGGCTCCATTTAATCGTAGCGTGATGTTTTTAGCCTATAGCACTCAGGAATATTGTAGCTATCTATCAGTGAATGAATTTTGGCAATCCGACCAGCGGTTCCAAAGATTTCCCCCTACATATAAACTTTTACCTCTTTATAATAATATTATAAAGAGGCAGAGGTATAGATGTCAAAATTCCTAATATTTCAAAACTCATGATCATAATGTCAATTATGTAAAGAGTAAGGAAATTATGTAATAAATAATACTTACCTATATATGTATGTATAAATATATAAGTATACAATATTTTCTTATGTACAAATCAATACATATTTATACAAAAAAAATTAATAACTATATAACAATGTCGGCCTTGGACGAATAGGTAATATTACCTATGTTCATATATATAATATACCAATATATATGTACATTCATCATTCTTTTGTTTATACTAATATATTTAATGATATATTGTATATATTAGAGGTCGTGGTGCCCCCTAAGTTAAGGAACCCGCTTCTCAAGCATGAGGGTTCGAAACCTGGCTAGTACCAATGTGACTTTCCGAGTTATATGTACTTTCTATGATTATTTAGACACCACTGACATACGGTGAAGGTAAACGTATCGTGAGGAAACCTGGACTTGTTGTTTCTAATTATAAGTTTGAAATCGCACACCCGCATTGAGCAAGCGTGGTGGTTTATGCTCAAACTTTCTCTGTGTGAGAAGAGGCCTTAGCTCAGAAGTGGGTACTTGAGAATGGGCGAGCGTTTTGATTATGATTTTTAATTTATTTTGTTAGTAACTTTTGTCCGCGACTCCGTTCGCGTGGAATAGTGACTTCCAGCAGATTTTTGGTTTAAAACTATCCTATGTCCTTTCTCGAGTTCCAAACTATGTCTGTAACAAATTTCACAGAAATCTGTTCAGTAGTTTAGTTGTGAAGAAAGACAGACAGACAGAGTTACTTTCGCATTTATAATATTAGTTTGGAATTTGAAAATTGAGAATGGTAGTAGGATTGCAATCCATTTTTATATATAAAGAAGATTATGTAGCCGATATTAAGTACTTCCTAATTGTTCCAGGGTTCGTGTTGGCCACGGCAGTAGTGTTACTGCTACTGGGCATAGTTTGTGCCATATTCTTCGGATCATGGGTCCGGATGTTCATAGACCATGTAAGTATTACCATCTAACCTACTTTTTCTGGTCCTTCCCCCATAGCATTGAGTTGGAATCTTATAGACCAGGGTCTAAATCTTCACACGACAGTTAACGACGCCTGCTTAGTCCAGTTTTTTTCGTCTTCATCGCCTGATGGTAGGCAATGATTGCCACCCAATGATACCCACAACACCAGAGGAGTTATTAGCTGTCGGATTGTCCTCCAGTTACCACAATCGTACAGCGTTTTTCCTCCTTTTCGCCTGATGGTAAGCAATGATTGCCGCTCAATGACACCCGCAACAACAGATGCGTTATTAGCTAAAGGATGGGTTTTCAGTAACCTTAATCTTAGAAATATAACCGCTTGTATCACAGGCTGTGTTTCTATGAGACCGGTCGAGCCTGTTCCTGTCGAAGCATGGCTGTCTCATGTCAGGTAGTGGTCAAATCGGATCTATAGAACTCATTATCTACTGATCATCATCAGCCTATAAGTGCTAACTGCTGAGCAAAGGCCTCTTCTCACGCGGAGAAATAATATCTCACATAATAGAACCGACTAAATAATGTAACATGAAAATGAATTGTGACACTTATTGAAAAAGAGTCCAAGGAGTTTCTTGCTCGTTATTCTCCACCGGAACCTACACTGTGGGACTACTACACTTAAGTGTGGGAGAGCCATGCTTAGGCACGAATGGGTCGGCTCGACCGGAGTGATACCACGGCCTCACAGAAAACCGGCGTGAAACAACCACAGCGTTGTGTTTCGCCGTGTGAGTCAGGTTACCGGAGGCCCAATCCTTCCCCTCCCCCAATCCCGCCTCAATCCCTAAATCTCCAAATCCCTAATCCCTAAAAGGTCGGCAACGCATCGTAACTCCTCCGTTGCGTGTGTCCAAGGGCGGCGCTGATTGCTTCAATCCGTCTGCATGTTTGCCGACCATATTACTTACAAAAAAAAAAAACACTTTGGAACAAGCAAATAGCTTCACTAGAGGACTGACCGACAGACTGACACTCCTATTATATACTCCTGTGTCTATTGTGCTCTATTTGAAATACTTAAATGTATGATTTTGACTTAAATTAAGTCCAGGTTTCCTCACGATGTTTTCCTTCACTGTATGTCAGTGGTGTTTAAATAATCATAGAAAGTACATATAACTCGGAAAAAGTAACTCTAACACTTGTCAAGTTTCGAAATCTCATGCTTTAAGAAGAATCGGGCGCCCAGAATCACCAAAATAACATCTCTGCTTACTCTAAAACAAATAAATAGTCGTAATGGTACTGTTAAACACAGTTGCTTTGTGTATCAACATACACAGACAATGTGTTGTAAGCTCGTGGGATCGAACCTGTGTACCTTGACCGGAATACCGTCATTGTGTCTATTTCTCGTAGACTTGTTAGGTAACCTACGATCGTATATTCAAAATTGATCAATATTTACAACTAGCTTTTGCCCGCGACTCCGTTCGCGTGGAATAGTCACTTCCAGCAGATTTTTGGTATAAAAACTATTCTATGTCCTTTCTCGAGTTCCAAACTATGTCTGTACCAAATTACACAGAAGTCGGTTCAGTAGTTTAGGCGTAAAGAAAAGACAGACAGACAGAGTTACTTTCGCATTTATAATATGAGTTTGGATTAAACGCGAATTGTGTAGACAGGCATACTACAAACTTTTAGATTATATTGAGGATAAGAATGCCTGGCAGCATGTTGGTTCGGCTCCACTGGACAATACTCAAATATAGTCAGCAGTTAGGTAAAATTCTCAAAAGTAATTAATCCTTAATTTATATATCCAAAGAGCACAACTATAATACACCAATACTCACTCATCCGATCACAAACAAACACACATACACACGCACGCATGCACGCATGCACGCACGCACGCACACACAAACACACACACGCACACATACACACACACACACGCACACACATTACTTGCTAATATTATGGTGTAAACTATTTCATATTTGTAATACCTACTTAATAAATAGTGTACTTTTATTAAAGATTATTATTATTAGAGTTTATATAGAAGCACTCTTATTTTCTATTCTATTTCTATTCTATTCAGACATCTTGATTGCATATTTGACGATAACTAGTGACTACGCAATTCTTTTTTTGCGGAGGCAAAATTGTCAAATGTTTAATGTGAGACCGTGGTATAACTGCGGTCGAGCCGACCCATTCGTACTGCAGCTTACCTCTCCTCATCATCATCAACATTATCAGCCTGTTGTCGTCCACTGCTGGACATAGGCCTCCCCAATTGCACGTCACTGAGCTCGATGTTCAGCTCTTCTCATCCGACCACTGCCAGCCACTGCGGATGTCGTCAGTCCACCTAGCTGGAGGGCGCCCTACATTACGTTTGCCTCTCCTACATTTTCCATTTTATTTCTACTTCACTCAATCCTCATCTAACGTTCAAATTCATTCATACCCACAGAAAGTGTAGTTCTATAATGTTTTACGATATTTTTTTGTGAAAGGAAAATCATCAAATGTCTTCTCTCACCCAGGGTGAAGCGAGAGAGAGTGTCAGACTCTTACTGACTAAAAACCCCGCTGTTCCTCTTCCTGCTCTAGGCCGAGGCCGCTGTACCTTCGCTTGACCCATAACCTTCGTAGAATACACATGTTATGATGTCATAGTTTCTCAGTATACATAGAAAACATACATAAAGCAATATGTATGTATATATATGTATGTTAGTTCATACTGAGCACACTTCCTGCCTACTCATTTCCTTTAAAATGCCTCAATGGTATCCGTCGTGTTGTAAGATCGTTGCGTTTACCTATATACATAATATTAAACTTATTCTTTAAGCCGGGGGTAGATAGAAATGCACAAAATGGTCCAACCATTACATAACCAAAAATTTTATTATGAAACCGGCGTGAAATAACCAGAAAAATGTGTTTCGCCGTGTGAGTGAAGTTATCGGAGGCCCAATCCGTTCCCTTTCCCAAAATCTCCAAATCCCTGCTCCCAAACAGTCGACAACGCTCTCGTAACTCCTCCGTCGTTGCGGGTGTCCATGGGCGACGCTGATTGCTTACCATAAGGAAATTCGTTTGCCGACCTATCACATAAAAAAAATCGGAGACTAGCGTATAAAAGTAATTGTATCCCGGGATTTTAATAACAGCAGCGTTTAAAGCGATAGCTCGACTAAAATACGGGAATCAAGAATGTTTTATAACCTGTGTAGCACTCAGGAACATTGTAGCTATCTATCAGTGAAAGAATTATGGCAATCCGACCAGCGGTTCCAAAGATTACCCCCTACATACAAACTTACAAATTTTACCTCTTTATAATTATAATATTCGTGTAGATTTTATTAGAACGAAGAACAAACCAAGGAAACTAAACTTTTATTTTATGGTATAAGTCGACAAACGAGCAGACGGATTACCTGATGGTAAGCAATTAGCGCCGCCCACGGACACCCGCAGCACCAAAGGAGTAACGAGTGCGTTGCCGGCCTTTTGGGAATAAGGGGTGCGAATGTGTAAGGATTGAGAAGGGATAGGAAAGGGGGAGGGAATGGGCCTCTTTGATTGACATCGTTGGCGCAGTGTCTGGGCAACTGTCTGCTGTATATCGTGTTCTTAGTTCGATTCCCGCACGAGACAACTCTTTGTGTGATCCACAAATTGTTGTTCCGGGTCTGGGTGTGTTGTGTGTGTGAAATTGTATGTTTGTAAATACACCCACGACACATAAGGTAATCGTAGTGCGAGGCAACGTCTTTCTATAAAAAAGAAATAAAAAAAGGCCTCGAGTTTATCCAACCTTTCCAAACTAATATCATAAATGCGAAAGTAACTCTGTCTATCTGTCTTTTCTTCACGCCTAAACTACTGAACCGATTCCTGTGAAATGTGGTACATACATAGTTTGGAACTCGAGAAAGGACATAGGATAGTTTTTATACCAAAAATCTGCAGGAAGTCACTATTCCACGCGAACGGAGTCGCGGACAAATTTTTGTTAACGCTATAATTATAAGAATGTGTGTAATTTCATGCAAATTGTATGTATGTATTGAATAAACGTACATGCGAACTGAGTTCCCACGCGAATAATATTGTAATTAACCGTCTGATCATGCATACAGTCATACATTCATACGAAACGGTAATCTTAACTTAATATTTTAAGATAGCACGCGATTTTCCAACGTTCATTTTTATTTTATAAAAAAAAAATCTTCCGTTACCCCATGCCTGATCCCATCGACCTTATCTATACTAATGTTATAAAGAGGTAAAATTTGTAAGTTTGTATGTAGGGGGGAATCTTTGGAATCGCTGGTCGGATTGCCAAAATTCATTCACTGATAGATAGCTAACAATATTCCTGAGTGCTATAGGCTAGAAAACATTGCCTAGTGAGTAGCTAGTGTATAATATTAATAGGACTATATAATTTTGAGTTACTATTACTGGCTTTAAACTAATACTAATCTGTATTTGCCGATCTTACTTACCTACCAGTTAAGCTTAACTCAACTCAATGACATTGAACGGCCGTCGGTGACTGGCTAAATCGCCTTCGCAAAGGAAACAGAATTACGCGCGCCATTTTGGTGTTTGTATACAACATAAAATGGTGGTTTTAAACAAGAAAATGAGTTTTTTAAGTGTTTTCTATGTCATCATCATCATCATCAGCGTATAAGTCCCACTGCTGAGCAAAGGCCTCTTCTAACACGGAGGTTTGAGCATTAATCACCACGCTTGCTCAATGCGGGTTGGCGATTTCAAACTTATAATTAGAAATTATAAGTTCAGGTTTCCTCACGATGTTTACCTTCACCGTTTGTAAGTGGTGTCTAAATAAACTTGGAAAAAGTCACATTGGTACTTGCTAGGTTTCGAACACACACCCCCATGCATGACAAGCGGGCTCCTTAACCTCCGGGCCACCACGACATTTTTACCTTTTTTTTACTTTACCATTATGCCATAGATATTAGTCCTTTAAACTTTCTTAATCATTTAAGAACGGACGACAATCTTTTAGGGTTTTTAATATACTAGCTACTATCCCGCGGTTTCACCCGCTGCTCCTCTCCTCCAGATCGTAGCGTGATGTTTTATCGCCTATAGCACTCAGGAACATTGTAGCTGTCTATCAGTGAAAGAATTTTGGCAATCCGACCAGCGGTTCCAAAGATTACCCCCTACATACAAACTTACAAATTTTACCTCTTTATAATATTAGTATAGAAATAGAACATTGTCCGTGATTGTCCTAGATATATACTATATCTGCCACTAAACCACCTTTTCCTCCCCAGGAGCTGGTCCTCCGTCCCGGCTCGATGACCTTCGAGTGGTGGGCGAGGCCCCCGGTGCGGCCATTTGTCAAGGTCTACGTGTATAACGTGACCAACGCTGACGAGTTCCTCAACAATGGATCCAAACCGATCCTGGATGAGCTTGGACCTTATGTTTACTCGTAAGTATCAGTGGTACACAGACGGGACCCTATAGAGCTGATGTTCAGCCGGGGTTGCTTGGTAAGCGCAATAAGTCACCGTTGTCACGGCCTAGAGCAGGAGCAGAAACGGGGGGGTTTTTAGTCAGTAAGAGTCTGACAGCGCCTTCCTCGGCGACCCTGGGCGGGAGAAGTCATTTGATGATTTTCCTCGTACAAAAAAAGTATCAATGGCAACAAAGCCTACAGATGTTCTGATGGTAAGCAGAGATGGTAGCCTAAGTACTATTGTGTTGTTTTTATGGGAAGAACGACTAAAGATTGAACGTCTGATGGTAAGCAGTTGGTGTCTCCCAATGGACGCTTACAACACCAGAGGAGTTGCAGGCGTGCTACTGGTGTTTTTGGGGTTCGGATAGTAGGATTCAAGGGTTGAAGATGGATGAGGGAAGAGCCTCCAGCAACCACACTCACATGGCGATAGATAAGCGTTATTTTACTCTGGGTTACCATTCACATTCTTCTCGAATCCGAGCGAGCCCACACTTTTAAAAATTTCTGAAAACCACAGAGTTTCGAATGCCTCAATGCAGATGGACAACCATATCCCCAAGTAAAATAACCCATGTTTTATGTATATTACTTGGTACACTGAGATTGGTGGACACGGTCGAAAGATCGGGAGGTGTGGAAGCGAGAAAGGTGGCCTTGCACTGGGACATCACAGACTAGTTAAAATAAAGTTGGTACAATCAATCAACTCAATCTCTTTTTCTTCTTCCCAGGGAAGAATGGGAGAAAGTGAATATCACGGACAACGAAAACGGAACACTCTCATTCCATTACAAGAGGACTTATACCTTCCAACCCGAGCTCAGCAAGGGAATGGACGACGATGCTGTAGTGGTCCCGAACATACCTATGCTGGTGAGTATTTTAGAACTAAGTTCCTTCCTTTTTCTAGCTGATGTGTGTGTCGCCTGGACAGTCAACCTCGCTACATCCTTGTCGACTGGACATCTACACTACATGAGCTGCTGTTTACATGTGAACATTAGCTCATGATGATACCTAAGTACGTGTGTCGCCTGGACAGTCAACCTCGCTACATCCTTGTTGACTGGACATCTACACTACATGAGCTGCTGTTTACATGTGAACATTAGCTCATGACGATACCTAAGTACGTGTGTCGCCTGGACAGTCAACCTCGCTACATCCTTGTTGACTGGACATCTACACTACATGAGCTGCTGTTTACATGTGAACATTAGCTCATGATGATACCTAAGTACGTGTGTCGCCTGGACAGTCAACCTCGCTACATCCTTGTTGACTGGACATCTACACTACATGAGCTGCTGTTTACATGTGAACATTAGCTCATGACGATACCTAAGTACGTGTGTCGCCTGGACAGTCAACCTCGCTACATCCTTGTTGACTGGACATCTACACTACATGAGCTGCTGTTTACATGCGAACATTAGCTCATGACGATACCTAAGTACCTACATATTGTCAGGACATTAATCTTATGACCTTGTAACTCAATAATACTTTTCTTAAGTTCCTTATTTTTATTAATGAGGACAATAAAGGGAGGAGAATTTTGAGAAAAACAAGTTTTTATTTACCTTTTCGCTTCCGCTACCTCGATGTTTATTCGAAATATTTTTTCTTTGAGGTCGCTATGTCGGTTCAAGGTGGTGTCGTCGGCATTGTAGAAGCTATATGAATTGGTCTTTTATTGAACGTCGGTTAAGATAAATTGGTGTGTTTTGTCTTTTCGTCACGATCTCATTACTCCTAATAGTCTCCGAAGGCCCTAGGGCCTAGACAGTGGTTAATGTAATTAACATATGTACACTTTTTCCCCAATTATAAAACTCGAGGTTAGTTTAAGCGTATTTCCATATCATTCCATAGGACGCTTTGGTCGAAAAACAAAACAGTTTTGACATTTTAATGGGATAAAAACTGTTTAAAATTAATCACACTTTCATATTATAACTAACTAGCTATTCTCGCACGGTTTCACCCGCTGCTCGGTTCGTACAGATCGTAGCGTAATGTTTTATAACCTATAGCACTCAGGAACATTGTAGCTATCTACAGTGAAAGAATTTTGGCAATCCGACCAGCGGTTCCAAAGATTACCCCCTACATACAAACTTACAAATTTTACCTCTTTATAATATTAGTATAGATATTCGAACTAAAATAATAATGAAGCTGTCGATTTTGATATGTGGATAGTTAGTACCCTGGATTAACACATAAGTAGACTGTTTCTTATGAACGTAATAAACGGACAAAGTCGCGGACTTAAGCTAGTTATTACTATTAGCAAGTAATAAATAATAACATATATACACACTTTTAAATTGTCTGACTGTGCGTAATTGGCTTTAATAATTATAATTATTATTATTGCGTCTTTTTTAAAAACTGTTGCGTTTTGTAAAATTACCATAATTACAACTTTACGCTATGTCACGAAATAAACAATTATTTGAAATTAAATCTTCCTAGTACATAATATTAATCTTATTCTCCTGTCTGTCTGTCTGTCTGTCTGTCTGTCTGTCTGTATGTAACTGGAATGACTTCTCCCTCCTTGGATGTGGCGAGAAGGAGTGTCAGACTCTTACTGACTAAACACCACACCTTTTCTTTCTTAATTTGTGCTTGCACTCACAATCAAATTCAAGAATGGTTCTTTAACCTTGCCCGCACTAGTATATTCTCCTATGTCGTGGGTGCGTTTACAAACATACAATTTCACATACACATGACACCCAGACACGAAACAACGATTTGAAACGAAACAAGGATCACACAAAGAGTTGTCTCTCTCTGGTTTCTGGTTGCCCAGTCACGTTTTTCAAAGAGTCGTCCCTCTCCGGTTTCTGGTTGCCCAGCCACGTTTTTTTAAATAGCTTAGGTCGTCAAACGAGCAGTCGGATTACCGGATGGTAAGCAATCGGCGCTGCCCATGGACACTCGCAACACCAAAGGAGTTACGAGTGCGTTGCCGGCCTTTTGGGGATAAGGGTTTCCGATAGGGGAAGGGTTTGGGGCTACGGTAACCCTCACTCACACAGCAAAACACAACGCTGTAGTTGTTACACGCCGGTTTTCTGTAAGGTCGTGGTATCCCTCCGATCGAGTCGACGCATTCGTGCCGAAGCATAGCTCTCTTGCCACATTTTTTTTTCACGTGAACTGTGCAGTCACTTCGACGCTTACTTCACACTCGAACAAGATTCAAAATCAATCAATCAACAAACACAAAGAAAAACTTAAAATAACCTTCGTTTTTAGTTAGTTATCCAGTAAACTGTTACTGTCACAGTGCCGGCGGTAAAATCAAATTACTATTGTTTTTCTGAATAACACACTAATCTTTATTAAGTATAATTATAATTATTTAAAACAAGGAAAACTATTAAATACAATCACGTTTTATAATGATCGATTTGATTGACGTATAATTTTAATTTATCTAATTTTGCGTTCTTCCTCTTCATCATCATCATCAGCCTATAAGTGCCCACTGCTGAGCAAAGGCCTCTTCTCACATGGATAACGTTTGAGCATTAACCACCACCCTTGCTCAAAGCGAAATGGCGATTTCAAACTTATACATTAGGAATTAAAGTCCAGGTTTCCTCACGATGTTTACCTTCACCGTATGTCAGTGGTGTCTAAATTTCTTTTCTTCACGCCTTAACTACTGAACCGATTTCTGTGAAATTTGGTACAGACATAGTTCAGAACTCGAGAAAGGACATAGGATAGTTTTTATAGCAAAAATCTGCAGGAAGTCACTATTCCACGCGAACGTAGTAGCGGGCAAAAGCTAGTCTATACTTCTATTCTAATATTATAAAGAGGTAAAATTTGTAAGTTTGTATGTAGGGGGTAATCTTTGGAACCGCTGGTTCGATTATCAAAATTCTTTTACCGATAGATAGCTACAATGTTCCTGAGTGCTATAGGCTATAAAACGTCACGCTACGATTAAATGGAGCCGAGCAGCGGGTGAAACCGCGTGAGAGTAGCTAGTATTTTATAAAAGCAAATACATTTAGTATAGTAGTGTTGGGAAATATCGCTTAGTAGTAGATGCACGAAGTAATTACCCGTGGTCACCTTCCAATTCGCGGCCGCGTCGACCGTTGCTTAACTTCGATTACCTAATCACCAAGCTAGCTGGCTATCTGACGTTACGCAAACTATGCTGACCAAGCCTTGAGGTCATAAGTAATAATAATATAGTTTTTTTTTGTGTAATTTTGTAAGACTTTCTTGTAGGCCTGCTTACCCCTTTTAAAAAAAGGGGGGGGGGGGGAAAGTTAGAATAGAATAGAATATAATATCTATAAACATAAAGTAGCCACCGCCTGCGGCTTTGCCCGCGTGGTATGTTGATAAGAAGTAGCCTACGTGTTAATCCAGAGCCTATCTATGTATATAGAAAAAAGAAAGAAAAAATATTTAATTGCACCGCAAAATTAAAAACAGACAAATTAGGTACAACTTATATAGAGAGTATGGACGGCGCAAAAACGCCAAGTGCTCAGCTAAAATGCCGTGACCCGAGAGTATAACTCGCGTCGCGCCGCTGATTTTAACACTGGCCCGTCACTATAATATAAAAATTAGATATATAATATGAAAGTACATAATTGTTATTCTTTGAGTTATACAAAGTTAATATAATAATAGTATATACATATAAAAAAAACATATATGCGAAATTTTAACCGAATCGGTCCAGCAGTTTTTGCGTGAAAGTTTTTTTTATGGTATAAGTCGGCAAACGATCAGACGGATTACCTGATGGTAAGCAAACGGCGCCGCCCATGGACACCCGCAACACCAAAGGAGTTACGAGAGCATTGCCGGCCTTTTGGGATAGGGGTTGCGGATATAAAGATCGGAAAGGGATAGGGGACGGTAACCTACCTCATACGGCGAAACAAAACGCTGTGGTTGTTCCAAAACAGGATGTCCAACCCGTCTACAAAGCTCTCCTTAGATGGGTATGTGACACCCGGTACAAGAGTGACGGTGTGAAAAATAAACTGTACAAATATTGATCTTTATCAATTCACAAATGAAAGCAAATGCCATTGTAATTGTAATTGATATTTGATTTCATCGTTGAAGATGTGTTTATGAGGAAAATGCGATGAGCTCATTATCCCACTTGATTTATTACATTCTTGGCTAACTAGAGCGTGTTTGATACACCAGGCGAGACCGAACTCGATTCATTCTCATATGAATAAGACAACAAATCAAATAGCCGTGTGTCCGGAATACACCAACGCCGCTCTTCCCGCGGGTGTTACATACCCATCGAAACTTTGCTTACCATCAGGTAATCCGTCAGCTCGTTTCTCAACCTATGACATAAAATACACCTATCTACCGTTCCAAATTTCATCCGTATCGGTCCTGCCGTTTTTGCATTAAAAATAGCAAACATACCAACATCCATTAATTCTTATAAAATTTCACATTTTTATTATATTAGTAGGATATTTATACATATATGTTCTGTCATTTATACATATGTTATTTATACATATGTCTGTCTGTCACTAAACGTTGCAACTATGCAACTAAATTGCAATGACAACTATCGTAACATACTGTATAATTAAATATGCAAACACGTTGTATACAGCGACCATGACCGGCCATTCAACTCTAAGGTAAACAATACAACAAAGGAATATGCACTTTAACTTGTTTACAATTAAGTTCAATTTGTTCTATTAAGTTTTGTTTGTTCTTAGTGTAAAGGAACTTGTGCTTTATAATCGAAGTTTTAATGGTGAGTTTTGATTAAAAGCAAGTGATGTGTTTTGGAATATGACCGGAATATTCTCCATGATCTAGATTAGATGTGT